AGGGCTTTAAGTGCTTCTAGGGCTTCCATCGGCATGTACAGCTTGTAGGATTCACAGGGTTCATCGGGTTTGTGGAGCCTCAAGTTTAGGGTTACAGCGCTGCGGGGGTTGCCCCCGACCAAGCCCGCTAAGCCCTGAGCACTGATGATCAACCCCACGTGCTTGCGTGACAGTCTGCCAAGATTCAGTCTGCTGCAAGGTCTGAGACACCTGGGTACCCTAAACCCTAAACCCTAAACCCTAAACCCTGAACCCTAAACCCTAAACCCTGAACCCTAAACCCTCAACCCTAAACCCTAAACCCTAAACCCTAAACAAACCCTAAACTTTGGATTTCTGGGGCCTTTGGGGCTCACTCCCTTGAACCCGAAGCGCCAGATCTCTGCCTGGACATCTACGTGTACCAAACACCTCTGAGCTCTGACAACCTCAACCAAACACCCCGAAACCCCGAGCCTCAAAACTGAGAATCCTACAGCCCTTTTTTACCCTGTGTACCCTAAGCACCCCGAAGAGCGTCACGCTCCTCCATTGACCCTGAACCAACCCAAATTCTAGAGGCCAACACCCTGAGACCCTAAAGCCCGAAGCCCTGAAGCCTCAAACCCTGAAACGCACATCCCCGAAACCCTCAAGCCCAGAACCCAGCAATGAAACCCTAAACCCCGAACCCTGCAATCTTGGAAAGCCGGGAGCCCAAAAAACCCCAATACCCTATAATACCCTTTCGTACCCTATGATGCCCTAATATACCCTAAAATACCCCAACATACCCCAATATACCCTAATTTTCCCAAACACTAATACCCTGATAGCCTCATAACCCTAATACCCTAATGCCCTGAACCCGACAATTCCCAGCTTTGTCCGGCGGCCGGGCGCGATGCCCTCTCCGCCGGCGATCAGGCTGCCAGGGGGCCCCACTTAAACCCCAAAACCTCAAAACCCGAACCCCGTACTCCCAGGCTTTCTTGCCCTAAACCCTAAACCCTAAACCCTAAACCCTAAACCCTATACCTTAAACCTCAAAACCCAAACCCCGTACTCCCAGGCTTTCTTGCTTTGCTTGGCAGAGCAGAGGCTCCATGGCACCAAGCCCTGAGCCATGAAACGGTTAGCCAAACCTGAAGGGTTTAGGGTTATAGGGTTTAGGGTTTATAGGGTTTAGGGTTATAGGGTTTAGGGTTTATAGGGTTTAGGGTTTAGGGTTTAGGGTTTAGGGTCTAGGATTTGGGGTTAGGGTGGGGGGTCGAACCGGAACCGGAAATCCCAAAACCGGAAACCCCAACCTTCTGGCTGCAGCCATGGGCAGCCTTTCCAAAAGAGAAAGGCTGCCAGCAAAGTCTGACAGGCAAAGCGCCTAGTCCTTGAGCCCCCCGCCTGCAGCCCCTAAACCCTAAACCCTCAACCCTAAACCCTAAACCCTGAACCCCAAACCCTAAACCCTAAGCCCCCTGATTTCAGGGTAGAGCCCCTCCCCTGCCACCAGGGCCGAGAATTGGAGACCCGTTTGCTTGTTTCATCTCTGTACCCATAGAAGAGCAAATTCGCGAAGCTGTGACCCTAGACCCTAAACCCTGAACCGTGAATCCTACAAAAGTTCTCTTGGAACAGGTAAGACTGGCACGGCTGAACGCGGCGCAGCTGAACGACAAAGCCGGGGCGCTAAATGGCTCTGGTCGCGGGGCTCCCGTGTAAGGAGATAGGGTTTAGGGTTGAGATTAGATGGTGCGGTGCTGCTGTACACCTGTGTGAGGGCTTCATTGCAGGGCTGATGGAGTGGAATGCCACAGCCTCGCGGCAAATCCCTCAGATCGAAGACGCTCTGAAAACTGCCCAGAGCCACGAAACCCCAAAGCCCCAAAACCCTCAACACAAAAACTCACTGCCAAAGGTCCCTGACAAAGGCCACCACTGGAATCTGCAACCGACATTTTTGGACCTTCAGTCTCAAAGCCCTACACCCCAAAGCTTCAAGCCCAACTCAAAGTCAATGAAACCCTTCATCACCCTAAGCCCTAAAGGCCCCTCGCCCATTTTCAAGCCCGAGTTTGAGCCGTCAAAGCCCCGCCGCCCCCCCCCCCCGAATCCGCCTCGACGCCTGAATGCCCAAGCAGAGCAGCTCTTACCCTAAACCCTAAACCCTAAACCCTAAACCCTAAACCCCAAACCCCAAACCCTAACCTTAAACCCGAAACCCGAAACCCTAAACCCTAAACCTAAACCTTAAACCCTAACAGCCCAAAGGTCGGCGAGCTGCAGCGCTTCGCCCGCGACCGCCAGCGCTGGGTCGTCCGACTCGACGGCCGCGACGCGCTGTTCAAGGCAGCTTTTTGGCGTAGGGTTTTTTTGTTTGGGGGGTGTAGGGTGATTATAGGGTTGAGGGGCTTATGGGGTTTACGGGGTCTAGGGGGATGATGGGGTTTGTTGAGTTCCCTTTGGTGTGGTTCGGGCTTAGGGCATATGCTCTTTGACAGTCCATCCCGGTCCATCCCGAAAAGGACCTTTTTCAGAATTCCCTTGGAACAGGCAACCCTGAACCCTAAACCCCAAACCCCAAACCCTAAACCCTAAACCCTAAATGACCCACTTAGATGTTGCAGGCTGCCAACCTGGACAGGGCGTAGTGCCGAGGCGTTGATCGGGCTCATGACGAAGAAGGCCATGAGAAGACCTGGGCTTTAGGGCTTCAGGTTGGGATGTCCCCCCTTAACAGTCCTTGTTCTTTTTTGGGGGTACTATGACTCCTAGTAAGGACTGCGCGCATCAGGGGGAACATCCCAAGCTTTGGAGTTTACGGGTTCAGGGTTGAGGGTTGAGGCTTTGTAGGTTCTGGGCCCATCGGGCTACAGGCTGTTAGCCGCTACAGCTGCCACCAGCCGAGGGCTCCTCCAGACCGTGAAGGGTTTGGGGTTTGGGGTTTGGGGTTTGGGGTTTAGGGTTTCGGGCTTAGGCCGTGATGCCCTCGACCTTTAGACCTTGAAACCGGGTTGGGGGTTCAAACTGTTTGCTTTTGTCCTCTTTTTGTTTTGAGGGGGGGGGGGGGGCGCGTGCCAGCTTTGAGTGCGAGGCTTCCCGACGGGTGGCTCTCAAAGCGGTGGAGCGCCCCTGGGCCCCTCGTCCAGCGATGGCGCCGCCTCCCGCGGTGAAAAGTGCGACCTACATTGCACTTTGTGGTTGACCTGAAACAGAACTAAAGGTTTAGGGTTTAGGGTTTAGGGTTTAGGGTTAAACCCTAACAACCCCCGCCCTGAACCCGCAAAGCACGTCCTCAAAAGAGCAGCATGGGTACCGCAACGTGAAAGCGTGAGGCCATCCAGCCGGCCGTTCAGCATTAATCTTTCCTCAAAGGCATTCTTGGTTGAGGGTTTGATTGGGATGTTCCCCCCTTCTACTAGCAGTCCTTAATAAGGATTCTAGTACCCCCTACGAGAATCCCCATGGAGGACTTCCAATATAAGGGGGAACATCCCAAATTTAGGAGGTAAAGGGAGGGGGGAAGGTTGGGGTGTAGATGCGTGCCTGTAGGGCCACTGTAGGGTCTAGACTCTCCAGGGCCTCACGTCCGGTGAGCTCTGTGCCCCTTAGCCCTAAACCCCCTTGGCCCTAAGCCCAAGACCTTAAACCCCTAAATCCCTAAACCCTAAACCCTAAGCCCTAAACCCTTCGGTTTAGGGCTTAGAGTTTAGTTGTTTAGTTTAGGGTCCCGAGCCCGAAGCTCCGAGCTGGCTGGCCTTCACATTCCGGACGCTCTGCTGAAGTGGTCGTGGGCTCGAAGTCGTGCAGGCTGTTTATGGGCTAGGGCGTAGAGGGCTTCGTGGGCTTATGTGGGAATGCTTAAGGTTCAGGGTTTTACCGCTAAGCCCTAAACCTTCACCGCACACCCATTCGCGCATAGTGCTGAAGCTCCCCAAAAAAGAGACTGGCCGCAGCTTAAGCCCCAGCCCACAAACCCGAAGCCCTCATGCTGATCCAACACTCAGAGTCAGACCTTGACTTTGCCTCCGACCCCTCATCCCCAAAACCCCAAACCCTGAACCCCCCCAAACGCCCCAGACCCTAAACCCGAAACCCTAAGCCCTAAACCCCCTTCCCCCTTCCCCCAATCATGATCAACCTACGGTCGCCGGCAGCGCTGCCCCGTGCGATGTGTCCACCTCGCCCAGCCGCGGACGACTCGGTGTGGATGTTTCCGGGGCCTGGCAGTGCTTCACTCTTTTTGTTGCCTGGTTTGTAGGGCTGACAGGGGGGTTGTTAAGGCTTTTGAGGGTCTTTTTTGGGCACCAGGGTTGCGGTCTATAATATAGATAGGCTCTAAAAAGTGTTTGGTGGGGACGGTTGGGGGTCGCGGGGGGAAGAAGCCCTTGCAAGAATGTGAAGGCCACATAATATAGGAGTGTATTCAGGGAATCCCTCAGGCGAAGAACTCATGGGTTCGAGTTCGGGGTCTTTGGCTAGGGGTTTACTTGGCTTCGGTCATGCAAGCAGAGCCCGGTGGGGGGTCGGGAAGGCCTAAACAAGATGTCGGGGTCAGGCCTAAACAATGCAGATGTCATTCGAACACATTCAGGGGCCGTGTCTACCTGCCTCTCTGTGAGGTTCTTTTTTCTCATCATGCAGCCATTTCTGCTTAAGTGGAGGTATCAGGAAGCGTCCCTATCCGCTTGTCACCTAGGGCAGGCCAGCATCCCAGCTTTCGGATCTTAAGCTCCAAGCACTACGTGGCCCTCTTGCCTGCGCATCTTAGGATTTTAAGACTTTAGGTGTAGAGTTTCAGGTTGAGCTTTCCGGGTTTCTGGTTCAGGGCGGAATGTTCAGGGTTTCGGGTTTTCTGGGCTTCAGAGGCTTGGCATTAGAAGGGCCGGGCACGCCCTCCGTGTGTTGAGGAGGAGTTTCCCCCCACGCTGCTTTAATCCTTAAACCCCCCCCCCCCCCCCCCCCCCCCCCGTCTAAACCCTAAACCTTAAACCCCCTTCAAAGCGTTATGCCGCAGGTAACGGATGGCATCGGCAACTCCACTCCTGAAGGACGACAAGGCAAGACGGGGCCTATAATAGGGGCGGGTTTAGGGTTCAGGGTTTAGGGGTTTGGGGTTTAGGGTTGAGGGTTTTAGGGGTTTAGGGTTTAGGGGTGTTTCCCATGCTCCTGGGCCGCTAATGTGCCGAGTCAAGCCTGCGCTGGAAGCTCTCCCATGCTGCTCAGGGATTTCTCGTGCTGGCTTGTCTGCCCCTTCTCTGCTCAAGCCTTTGAAAGCTTCGGCGCAAGGAAAAAAGGCGCTCATCTTGCTTGCCACGACCTCTGCAAGTTTCGAGACATGGCCGCACCCTTCGATCTCGAGGCCGTGCCCTCCCAGTCCGAGGAAGAGGTCGCTCCGATCGCTCCGAGCTTCCGCTGGGGGAAGGTGGCGAAGGTGGCTTTGGCGGCGGCTCTGGGGCTCGGGCTCGTGGGCCTCCTGGGCCTGGGCTTCCAGAACTTCGGCGTCTTTCAGGGCAAGTCTTCCCTGACCATGGACACGCATCAGCAGTGGCAGCAGCAACAGCAGCAGCAGCAGCATATGCAGATGGCCCCCATGATCGGGGGCATGCCCAGCGCACAGCAGTTGCAGCAGTTGGAGCAGATGGAGAAGATGCAGCACAAGGGTGGCTCGATGGGCTCGATGCCTCAGCTGGAGAAGTCCATTTCCAGTCCAGAGCTAATGAAGCAGTGGCAAATTCACATGAGTCACATGGGCCACCGGCCGGGCCTTGCGATGACCCCCCCCAGCGGAGAACAAATGCAGCAGTTGCTGCAACAGATGCAGATGCAGATGGGCGGCCAGATGCCCGGGCATCATCAGCAGTGAAAGACAGCGGCCAAGAACCGGCGAGACCACAGGATGTCATCATCGTCTGCTGATCGCCTGGAGTTTGTTTAAGCTGTCAGCGCGTCTTCCGCTCCATCACATGGCGCTTGATGGTTGTGCTGTCAGCCGATGCTTTCAGTCCGACAGTATTCTCCGAACTTGGCAGAAAATCGGCCAAGATCCCAGTTCGGCTCACCCGCACATCACAGCAGAAGAAAACAGGAAACGCATACTTCTGGCTCCCTGAAGTACCTCAAACCCCCCCCAAAACGACATACGAGACCCGAGCTCTCGACATTTGATTTCGATCTCAGGCCTACTGCAGGGTTTGGGGTTTAGGGTTTAGGGTTTAGGGTTAGGGATCATGGTTGACAGTAAACCCTCTTCCCCTCAAGCCCTAGGCCCGGGCTTTGGTGACTCTTGAGCTTGGCAGGGTAGGCTCTCCGCGGCACCGAGCCCTGAGCCGTGAGACCCCATCTTCTGGTTGCAGCCGTTGGCAGCCTTTCCAGGGTTTGGTGTTTAGGGTTTAGGGTTCAGGGTTTAGGGTTCAGGGTTTAGGGTGTTTAGGGTTTAGGGTTTAGGCAGATAGGCTGCGCAGTTTGGTAGGACAGCTGCAACTGTGGGCCTTCGCCAAAGCACCCTAGGCCTCAAGCCCTTTATACCTGTAACCCCCAAATCAGAATAATCAGTAGCTAGATGCCCCCTGATTTGAGAGTAGACTAGAGCCTCCCCCCCCTCCTGCCTCCACCAGCAGATATTTGGAGACACATGTGTGCTCTTCATCTCAGCACCCAATAGAAGAGTACATGTATGAAGCTACTTCCTAGTAACCCTGGACCCTGACCCCCAAAAACCCTAAAAACCCTACAAGCCCTTCCACCCTAAACTCTAAACCCCCTTATCTAGGAAGATTCAGAGATTCTTACATTGGCCGACAGAGACTTGTTGCCTACTGAGGCATCCATGGCCACCTGAAACCCGTGGCCCAAACTTGATACGGTGTTTGGGGGTTTAGTAGGCTTAGGTTTTAGGGTTTAGGGCTTAAAAGGCTCAGGGCTTAGATCTTGTCTTTTGTGAGCCAGCTTGTGCGCTTGGAGGTCTTTGGCTTGCAGGGCCTTCGGATTGGTGGGGGCCTCCCAAACCCTAAGCCCTAAACCCTATGCCTGATGCCCTATGCCGCTATGCCCTAAACCCTAACATCCCTAAACTCCCTGAAATCCCAAAAACCCCTAAACCCCAAAGCCCAAACCCCAAAGCCCAAACCCCAAACCCTAAACCCTAAACGCTAAACCCTAAACCCTAAACCCTAAACCCTAAACCCTAAACCCTAAACCCTGAACCCTGAACCCTGAACCCTAAACCTATCCCCGTCTGTGGAAGGCCCAGCCAGGATGCATCCTGGGCGTGCTAAGCGAGGGCTTCAGCCCGGATGCGAAGCTCTCTAAAGGCTCCCTGGATGCACCTTAGAGGGTTTAGGGTTTAGGGTTTAGGGTTTAGGGTTTAGGGTTTAGGGTTTAGGGTTTAGGGTTGAGGGTTTGTCTCGGAGCCCAGAAGCTTACCAACCGCCAACCATGCACCATGGCAAGCCCACCATCAGAAACCGTACCGAAAGAAAGAGGGCCTAAACCCAAAACCCTAAACCCTAAACCGTTTAAACCCTAAACGCTAAACCCTAAACCCTACACCCGAAACCCTAAACCCTAAACCCTAAACCCTAAACCCTAAACCCTAAACCTGGAAGCCCAGGCGACCAGCGCGTCAGCATGGTGCCCGAGGTGGCGGCACAGCTGATGAAGGCATCGAGGGGCCTAAAGCCTAAGTTTGGCTCAGTAGGGGTCACAGGGTTTTTGCAGGTTTAGGGGGTTAGGGTTTCTAAGGCCATGCCGGCGGTAGATCGGCTTCGGTGGAAGAATGCTTCGAAACAAGCCACGGCGCTTGAGGCCTGAGTAAGCTGCTCGTTCCGGGGTTCTGGTGCCATTCTCTTCAGGCCCTGCTTGCGAAGAAGCCCCCAGGCCCCCCCCCCCCCCCACCTTGCAGGACGGCTACGCCGTGCACGTGGAGAAAGGCCCAGAGCATGGGACCGTTCAGTCGAGTTGCAGTGGTCTTTAGTCCAGTTCTTGGAGATATTCGGGTGTGAGAGAGTGTGTGTGGGTGGATTTAATATACCTAGGGTGCAGGGATGAAATCCCCTAAGTGCCCGCAGCTTCGAGCCACACACATACATACCCAGCCAGCAAACCGGAAAAACAGACCCTAAACCCAAAATCCCCTCAACCCGAAACCTGAGAACCTCAACCCAGAAAGCCATCTGCACCTCGGCAGGCGCCGGTCTCTATGCAGGCTTCTCTGACAAGGCGCCCCCTGAGCTTTAGGGTTTAGGGCTTAAACCCTTAACCCTGGAACCTAAACTGGGAAATGGATGTGGATGCAAGGGGTGTAGGCCTTCAGGGCCTGCATCCCATCGACACTCCGAAGCCGCAAGCCCTGAGCCTCTGAGCTCTTCGTAGACTTTCAATTTTCAGGTTTAGGGTTCAGGGTGCTGCTTGTCAGAAATGGGGACCCTAATCTCGCACAACCCCCCCCCCCCCCACCTGGGGGCATGCCTCTGCTTTCACAGAGATACGGCCTTGCTGATGAGACCGATAAGCACTGCTGATCGATAGCCCCAGTGGAGAGATGCACCTTTCTCTCCTGTAACCCTTGGCTCTTTTCAACAAATTCGGTTCCGGCCTGCACCAAGCGAAGCCCGCATGTTGCCCCTTTCTTCCTAGGTCACAGGGCAGCCAGCCTCATTCAGACACCTGGTTGTTTGTCAAGGTTTGACGGTTTGAGTGCTATAGCATATCTAAAAAGTTAAAGGCCCCCCGAAACCTAAACCCTAAACCCTAAACCCTAGACCCTAAACCCTAAACCCTAAACCCCAAACCCCAAACCGGTGCTGGTCCTCAGGCATACGCGGACAAGGGCTGCGTGGTGGCCAGCAGGGGAGACGTGATCGACAAGTCTCAGGCCGATCTTTTATTTGAAAGCCAACGGTTTAGGGTTTAGTTTAGGGTGTAGGGTTATTGTCACCCTCAGACCGGAAATCCCTAACCGCCCTAACCCTGAGCCTTAACACTAATCCCCGACGCTAAGATCCCATTCCGCAGAAGCCGCAAGCCCGACCAAGCAACTGTCCCAAGCCTGACTTGTTTAGGGTTTACGTGGGCTTGACACGCCGATTTGCTGAAGCTCGGCCGCTCGCCGGTTCATGACCGAACGTGTCCGAAGTTCTGAACCGCAGAAACCCCGAAACCCTGAAACCTTCAAACCCTAAACCCTAAACTCTATAAACCCTAAACCCCTAAAGCCCTAAACCCTAAAACCCTAAACCTAAACCCTAAACCCCTAAAACCCTCAGGCCCTCGGTTTCCCTAAGCCCTGAAATCCTGAAACCCCACAACCCTGACAGGCTCATCCTCCATCCTCAGCTTAGGGTTTAGGGTTTGGGGTTTGGGGTTTAGGGTTTAGGGTTTAGGATTTAGGGTTTAAGGGGGTTTATTAGGGGGTTTAGGTTTTAGGGTTTCGGGGCTTTCGGGCGTTTCGGGGGTTTTCCGAGCATCCCCCACAGGTCCTCTTTGCTCTGGATGCGCCCGTGCAGGACTTTTCGACCATGAATTGCAAGGTGCCCATGTTGGGGAGGGGGGGGGGTTGTATTGAGGGCACCCTAAGCCCAAACCCTAAACTCTAAACCCTAAACCCCCATAATTTGAGAATCCCCACGGGTTTATACAGGGCGTAGTGTGCGGGATCCTCTGCCAGGATGCAGCATCAGGGACGAGTGGAAGGGTTTAGGGTTTAGGGTTTAGGTTCTGACATGACCACTCCGCCCAATGGACCGTGCGATGGAGTACACACGATCAATTTCGGCGCTCAAGCGCTCTCACGCAGGGCAGACCCTGCACAGGGTCAACCCTTTTTGCAAACTAGTCGCCCAAAACTCCCACTCGTGCAGTCTCTATCTGCCCTACACCCCAAACCCGAGACCTTCACGACGCCAGGTTTTGGTCTCATGGGTCGGCAGATTGCAAGACAAGGGCAAGGAACTCCGGGGGGAGGGGGGGGTTGATGGCTCGTCCTTGGTTAGAGCTTTGTGGTTTTGTCTTTGAGTGTTTTGTTGTAGTCATAGCTTTTTTGTTTCTTCAGGGTTCAGGGCTTGCGAAGAGGGGTTCAAGGCTCAGGGTTCGTAGGGTGGGGGCTTGGTGAGTTTGAGGGTGTCAGGGTGTTGAGGGTTTGAGGCTTGGGGGGTTTGCGGTTGGGGTTCAGTGTTCAACAACCACTTCGGTTGGAGAGTTCACGGCCCAGGTTGAGGGTTTTTGGTGATGAGAAGCTAAACTTCGAAAAGGTGGCATGTCAGTGGAAGGCAGAGCATGGCACCGGTTCTGATATCCACGTCAGATCCCTAAACCCTGAACCCTGAACGCTACTAAGCCCGGCTAAGTCGTAATGGGCCCTGCTAAATCCTAAGACCTACACCTCAAACCCTGAAACCTAACCTCCTGATCCCAAAGCCCTACTAAAGCTTGAACCCTGAACCCAAATCTGTACCTGCTTCAGTGTTTCCCCCCCCCCGCCCCCCGGAACAGTCGAACCTGGTTCTTGCTCTCTTTAAACGGTCCACGGTTTTATATATGTGATACAAACGGGAGAAGTTTAAATTGGAGCGCGAGGCTGGCAATTGATTTTAAGGTTATCGTACGACACCCGTACGATCTGACTTCATTGCGGACCCCAGTCTGGACCTACAAACGGTCACACGGTCCTGAGCAGCCTGGCAAGCTTTGACTTTGACCGGGGGGCCAGCACTAAAGCAGCTACTTTCAGGGCTCGGAATAATTACTAGTAGTATTCCCTTATGGTTCCTGTACAATTACACTAGAAGAACCCCCAAACCCCTATTCTGACCTTTCAGGCCCCCTATAGTACAACATGAGACCCTAAAGCCCCCAACCTGGAAGGAGATCATCAGCAAGGCGAACCAGTACCGCATCACCATCGTGGATGCGCCTGGGCAATTTCTATTCTAGGGACTTCGGGGCCTGCAAAGACGGGTTTAACCCTAAACCCCAAACCCTAAACCCTTGGGGGGTTTAGTAGAGGTTCAAATAGAGCTTTCGCAGTTTGGGTTTTTTTGTGCTTCAACCCTATAGACCCTAAACGCTAAACCGAAATGGATCACTAAACCCTGCATCCTCCAGAAATGAGAACCCTAGAATTACGGTTGGAGGGTTTAGGGGTTTAGGTCTAGGGTTTAGGGGAAGAAGTGCCAACAAATGCTGGACTGGTTAAGGGTGGTCGTCGGTTGGTGGCAGGCGTGCTCAGGAGGTCGCACAGAGCTGAGTTGAGGACGGAGGAGAGGCCTGAGGCAAAGGAGAGGCATGCCTAAACCCTAAACGCTAAAAACCCTACAAACCCAATAAACCCAATAAACCCTATGCACCCTATCAACCCTAAACCCTATAAACCCAATTAACCCTAAACCCTAAACCCTAAACCCTATAAATCCTAAACCCGAAACCCCTGTCGGGTGAGCAGCTGCTTGCGGATGGTTGAGTTTTTTTGCTTGCCATACGGTGGATGGATGGCTGCCCTGCCCTGGCTGGAACTTGGGGTTTAGGGTTTAGGGTTTAGGGTTTAGGGCTAGGGTTTAGGGCTAGGGTTTAGGGTTCTTGGGGGGAGCTGGTAGGTGGAGCTTTCCCCTCGGAGCTTGGCATCAGGGTCCCACTGTTGGAGTGCGTTTGTCGCAGGACAGAAGCCCTACAGTTGGGGCTTGTCATTTGTTGGGATATAATCCCTATTAAGAACTGTTAGTAACATCCCAAGTTCTCTAAATTAGGGTCCCTTTGTGGGTACCCATGATAAGGCGGCACCCGTTAATGGGTAAGCTGGGACCTTAATTTTAACGCTACGCGACCCGCCTCGGCCCGGCCCAGCGCATCCGCGTGAGCATGGTGATTCCGCAGCGCCCAAGTCGCTGGACCCCAAGCAATAAGGGTTGGGTTGAGGGTTGAGGGTTGAGGGTTGAGGGTTCCGGGTTTATGGTTTATGGTTTGGGGTTTGGGGTTGAGGGTTAGTTTAGGGCTCAAGGTTCACGCTTTGGGGTTGAGGGTCTTTTTGGGTTTTGGGTTCGGCTTGGGGTGATCGTAGGGTTGAGCCAGACCCCTTAAGGTTTAAGGCGACTCTTCGGTGGGGGAGGGGGGAGGGGGGAGGTGGGGTGGGGGGAGGGGGGAGGGGGGGGGGGGGGGGGGGGGGGGGAGGGGGGGAGGGGGGGACGGGGGGGAGGGGGAAGGAGGGGGGGGGGAGGGGGAAAGGGAGGGGGGGGGGTGTTTAGGGGGGGGGGGCGCGCGGGTAGGGTAGGGGGGGGGACGGGTGGGGGGGGAGGGGGGGGGGTGGGAGGGGTGGGTGGGGTGCTGGGAGGGGCTTCAACTGCCTCTGGACCTGGCGAACCGTCTACCCATTTGAGGCCAAAAAAAGGGTCCGAAAGGGGGTGCCTGTTCTGACAACCTATACACCTCCGGCCCGAGGCCTCGGCGGATTTAGGAAACTACCCAAGGTCATATGCCAATCACAACGCAGCAACATGAGAACATTCGGCTTGGGGCTTTAGGATTCGTAGTCTTCTCTTGGTTCACGGCTTCGAGATTCGAGCTAGACTCAAATCCTAAACCGCCCAGCTAAACCGCCTGAACTTGAACATCCTGACTCCTCAGCTCCTTGTTTTATTGGTGCGCGAGCCTTAGGTATGGTTTGGAAGCCATGTGCCCAGGTCACAGCCGTACCCCGCATCACCATCGCCCAGAAGCCGCGGCGCTTGCATTCAAGCCACAAAAACAGCCTAAGGCCTAAACCCCAAACCCCAAGCCCTAAGCTACACCCAAAACCCATAAACACAAGCCCTAAAGTAGGCCCTGACGCCCCGAAACCGGAGACGTTAAGGGCTCGGTGTGTTCGGGTTCAGATTCAGCAGCCTTGGCAGGGTTTAGGGTTCTGGGTTTCTGGTTTGGGGAATCGGCTTTCGCCAATCCCCCACACTCCCCTCCCCCCCTCACACGTCCCCCCCCCCCCCCCCCCCCCCCCCCCCCCCCCCCCCCCCCCCCCCATCCAAATCCCCACCCTAAACCAAACCTCGCCCCCAAAACTCTCCGAGGCTGGACGTGCTCAGCTCCCAGGCGAAGGTGGCAGGGCACCGGGCTGTGCTGGAAGCCGATACTTGGCGGCAGGACGTCGGACTTTAGGCTTACTTGGGTCTACTATAGCATTCGGAATTAATTACTAATGGTACTCCCTCATGGTCCCTTTATAATTATACTGTAGTAGCCCCCAAAACCCTATTCTAATCATTAAGGCCCATATTAGGGGAGTTGAGGCTTCATGGGGTCTAGGGCTTTCGGGTTTAGGGTGAGACTTGGGGGGAGGCTTTTGCTTGGGAAGCTTTAGGGTTTCGGGGTTGCGGGCTCAGGGTCCGGGTTTTGGGTTCAGGGGTTTTAGGGTTTAGGGGTTTAGGGTTCGGGGCTTAGGGTTCGGGGTTTAGGGTTGAGGGGCTTAGGGTTTAGAGTCTGAACCAAGGCTCACTCCTACCAGCGGTTCCACACCGCTGAGATGACTGCAGCCGGCAAGTACCCGCCACTTGCACAGCAGCCATGTGGGGGTTTCCGAAATTAGGCGGACCTCCCTAAACCCTAAACCCTAAACCCACCTTATTGGAGTCCTTATGAGAAGGGAATCCTACGTTCTAACATGGATTAATGATGAAGGCTCAGCCCAGAGGCCTGAAACCCTAAACCGTTTCCCCCAAACACCGAACCCTCCGCAACCCCTTAACCCTAAACTCTAAGCCCTAAACCCGAAACCCTAACCCTAAGCCCTAAGCCCTAACCCTAAACCTTTCTGAAACCCTAACCCTCAACCTTAAGCCCTAAACCCTAAACCCGAAACCCTAAACCTTCAACTCCATGCGCCCGCAGGCCCGCCCAAACTTTCGTCTTGGGCTGCGGCGTGGCTGGCTTGGCGGCCATTGGAACGAGTAAGGCGCTGGGGTCCGTGGCGCCTCGGCCATGGGGGGCTTGGGTTTAGGGTTTAGGGTTTAGGGTTTAGGGTTTTGGGTTTTGGGTTTTGGGTTTCGGGTTTCGGGTTTAGGGTTTAGGGTTTAGGGTTTAGGGTTTAGGGCTACAGGGTTTACAGGGTGTACAGGGTTTACAGGTTTACAGGGTTTCAGGGGTTTGTCTGTTAGGGCTTAGTCTGGGTTAGGGGAGTTTAGGGTTTGGGAATTGCATTGGGTTCAGGGTTTAAGGCGTAGGCATAAGTTCGAAACTTCGGGGCAGGTTCGGCTTTGGGCAATGAGCCCTCAACCCCTGAGCCCTCTGCCACTGCAGCCCTGTAAAAACCCAGAGCGCCCTATACCCTCCAAGCCCTCTGAACCCCCCAAACCTCCCCAAACCCGTAAACCCTCAACCCTAAACTCTGAACCCCCTAAAACCCCCTAAACGCATAAACCCTTCAGCTCAACCTCGGAGCCCTCCGAGCCTCCGACCCAAAAGCTCGGAGATGGAAAGGTTCGGGCCTGGGACGTGCGCGACGTTTCGGACCAGGCAGGCGTCGAAGACCCTAAACCCAAGAAAGCCCTATAAACCCTATAAACCCTAATATAAACCCTAATATAGACCCCAATATGAACCCTAAAAACCCTAAAAGCCCCAAAACCCCCCAAAACCCTCAACCCTGACTGAAGGTGCACTCCATGGGTGCCAAGTGGGTGAAGGTGGACTTCAAGGAGAGCGGGGAGGGCCAGGGAGGCTACGCCAAGGAGTCCTCGGACGCCTTCAAGAAGGCAGCGCAGCATCAAGCTGAGGGGTCGGCTCTTTTAAAGGGGTTTAGGGTTTAGGGTTTAGGGTTTAGGGTTTAGGGTTTAGGGTTTAGGGTTTAGGGTTTAGGGTTTAGGGTTTAGGGTTTAGGGTTTAGGGTTATGGTCTGAGGGTAGTTGCATATGCCCTTAATATGGTCCCCAAACTCCTTTCACGGGTTCTGATGTACGGGCCCTTCATTTGCATAGGGTACATAAGGGGTGTACAAGGGGTACCCTTTTAATTAAAGGCCCACACTAGGGAACCATGCAACTACCCTAGGAGCATACGGGAGCTTGGAGGCACCTCTTGTAAGAAAAAATCAGTTCAACGCACGTGGCATGCACATAACCCTCTGTCCTGTAAAGGCTCTAATGGGAATTTCTAGGGAAGCTGAGGATGTTGATCAGTTGAGGGTTCGGGGTTCGGGTTTCGAGGGCACAGGGATTTTGAGCGTTGGCCGATTGGTTCTCGGTAGCATGTTAGTGAGTCGCCGCCTTTTTTCACCTTTAGGCCCTTCAGAGGTGAGAATAGGACCTTGTTCGCCAATCACCTACAGCTCTCGTGAAAGATTTGTGATGTTTGCAAACACAGCGGGTGAAAAGCCTGGGCTGTGTTAGCATATCCAGTTCCACCGAATCCCCTTCAAATAAGTACTGTAAAGCAAAACGAACTGCGAGACCCCCTTTGAGAAAATACTTCCTCAACCCTACTAAACCCTGCGAAGCCCTAAGCCCACATCTACGCGCAGGTGCAGCAGGAGACCTTCAAGCAGGTGCTCAAGGAGCCCTAGTTCGGGGGGGGGGGTGCTGTCCATCAGCTCCTTCGCTCCAGAGGGTTTCGGAGCTCAAGGAGAATAGGGGTCTTGTGGCTTGGGTGAATTTCGGGGTTTCCCCGGTTAAACGGCTCACGCTGTGTTCCTAGCTTTTTGGAGGCCAAGAGGCCAAGTGCGGAGAGGTCAGATAGCGCGCAGCTCCTCCTAGCCCATCATGTGCAGACCCAAGCCATGGACCACAAGCCTGCTGCGCCGAAAGGCCATAAGTCCTCAACGCCCTCTAGCACTTTGACTATTCAGCCCCCAAAGCCACAAAAAGCTCGAAGCTATAAACCCCGAAACCCCTTCTCCGCGAAAACCCCCCAAAAAATCCCTAAAACCCCTGAAGACCCCCCCCCCCCCAAAACCCTAAACCCTAAACCCTAAGCCCTCGTCAGGAGTGCGACATCGCCATCAGCACCGCGGCCATCCCAGGGAGGCCCAGCCCTCTGCTGATCACCAAGGACGGGCGCTCGGACTTCTTGCCAGGGTTTGGGGTTTAGGGTTTAGGGTTAGGGTTTAGGGTTTAGGGTTTAGGGTTTAGGGTTTAGGGTTTAGGGTTTAGGGTTTAGGGTTTAGGGTTTAGGGTTTGGGGTTTAGGGGTGGGGTGGGACCTCGGACATGGAGGGTTGCTCGGGACCGGTAGGGGTCGCAGTCGGGCCATGCCGGATCCTCGCATTTCCCGAAGCTTTCGAGCCTAGTCAGCACCAGAACCTTCGCAGCTTCTGCGCCAGATTCCGCAAACCCTAAACCCTAAACCCTAAAAGGCCCTACACGCTGAACCCTAAACCCTAAACCCTAAACCCCAAACCCTAAACCCTAAACCCTAAACCCTATCTCCCCCTCCTGTGTCAGGATGCCGTGGCCGTGATGAAGCCCGGGAGTGTGATCGTGGACTTGGCGGCCGTGGGCGGTGGCAACTGTGAGCTGACGAAGCTCCTGGTCTTCGGATGCTTGGGGTTTAGGGTTTAGGGTTTAGGGTTCAGGATTCAGGGTATTTAGGGTTGAGGGTATTTAGGGTTGAGGGTGTTTAGGGTTGAGGGTTTAGGGTTTAGGATTAAACCCTAAGCCCTAAACCCTAAACCGCGCACAGCCGAGGCTGAACGAGACCATCATCACGCCGAGCCTTGGCCGATTTGGTGTCAAGACTGCCTCTGCACCCTAGATGCCTCCAAACCTCCAGAATAAGCCCCCCCTTGCGTTTAGGGTTTAGGGTTTGGGGTTTAGGGTCTCGGGTTTCGGGTTTCGGGTTTGGGGAAGGGCAAGGGGGGGGCAGGGTTGTAGGGATCCAGGGTGGAGAGGGGCACGCTGAGGGTTTGCTGGGGCCTTCGAGGAATGGCGTCACCATCATCGGCTATGCCAACCTCCCTGCGCGCATGCCCGAGCAGGCAGGGGTTTAGGGTTCAGGGTTTAGGGTTTCGGGTTAGGGTTTAGGGTTTAGGGTTTAGGGTTTAGGGTTTAGGGTTTAGGGTTTAGGGTTGCGGTCTCAAAGGCCCTCAACCGCGTCAGGCCAGCGCCATGTACGCCCAGAATATGGCGAACCTGCTGAAGCACATTCACGACAAAGGACCGGGGCGGTAAAGCGAGAATCTAGGTTTCCGACTGCAGGCAAGAGGAGGCAAGACCTCAATATCCCTCCAACTTTGGCACTACGTCGCCCCAAGCCCTGAACCCCATGAGCAGCTCTAAACCCTAAACCCGCAACCCCCAACCCCAAACCCCCAAACCCTCAACCCTAAACCCAAAACCCTAAACTTTCAGGCAAGGCAGCCGCCCTGCTGGATAACCTCTACGGGGCACTGGACAAGGGCGAGGCAGGGCTGGGGAAGTCCTTGGTGGGTGTTAGGGATTACAGGGTCTTAGGCTTCACAGGGTTGTAGGGTTTAGGGTTTAGGGTTGGGTTGTAGGGTTTGCAGGGGTTTCTGGTTTCACTGGGCTATAGGCTTTTAGGCCTTTTAGGGTTCTAGGGCTTTAGGGATAACTTAGGCTGCCAGCAGCCCGACCCAGCCATCCTCCACAGCCCGAAAAATCCATAGAATTCGCTGCGCAGAGGCGCATTGCGCGACTCCGCTTCCTGAAGTTCTTGCTTCAGAGTCTCAGGGCTTGGGCATCATGAATATATTGATGTGGAGTCGCGGTTAGACTGTAGGTATGGGAGTGGGCGTAGTTCTTCGTGCTGCCAAGTGTGTGATTGTTTTGGACCATAAAAAAGCCCTCAACACCCCAAACGCCCTAACAAAACCTGTCCAAAAAACAACCAAAAGCCCCGTTCATGCATGTGCGAGGCTGGCGACATCGTGTCGCGCAGCATCGTCTGCTGCAGGAGCGGCAACAATGCCAGGGCCCCAAGCTCCGGGTTTAGGGGTTTAGGGGTTAGGGTTTGGTTTAGTGTGCAAGGTTTAGGGTTCAGGGTTTGGTCGGTTTGACTCGGGTTTAGTGTGCCTTCATTTTAGGTCTACTTCTGGTTCGGCGTTTAGGGTTTTAGGGTTTATGTCGCAGTTTAGGGGGGAGGGGGGGGGGGGGTTAGGACTTTTTTTTAGCCATTTGGGTTGTTGGGGGGGGGGGGGGGGGGGGGGGGGGGTGGGGTTGGTAGGGGTTTTGGGACGATGAAGGCGCCCCAGCCCCCGAATCAATTTTTGAAGGGTTCAGGCTTTGAAAAACTGTGGGGTACTGGTGCCCTGAACACTAACACTCCTAATTAAGTCCTAAGCCTTACGCCACCCCCAAACCCTTAAGCCCAAAAAGGATATGAGCCCCTAAACCTAAACCCTATAAACCCGAAACCAGAAAACCCCTAACCCCCTAAACCCCTAAACCCCTAAACCCCTAAACCCCTAAACCCCTAAACCCCTAAACCCCTAAACCCCTAAACCCCTAAACCCCTAAACCCCTAAACCCCTAAACCCCTAAACCCTAAAAACCCTAAACCCTAAACCCTAAAAACCCTAAAAACCCTAAACCCTAAACCCCCAAACCCTCAGCCCCGCGGAGCTTGAGGTGGCGATGCCTCCACCACCACAGCCCACACCGCAGCCTGGCCATCCTATGAACAGGGTAAAGGGGCCTTAATAGTTAGTTTGGGGTTTAGGGTTTAGGGTGTAGAGAGGTTTGGGGTTTAGGCTTTAGGGTTTAGGGTTCAGGGTTTAGGGTTAGGGTTTAGGATTAAGGGCTTAGGTGGCAGAATGGCTCAGGGTGTCGAGAGGGCTTGGGGTTCAGGATTAAGGGCTTAGGGTGCGCCAGAGTTCAGGTGGGTCGCCCCAAATGCCGGGCCCTAACCCAGACACCCTAGACCCCTGAAGCCCCCTCAGCCCTACATGGCTCATGTCCTATACACCCTAGAATTTACCCTAAACCCTAAACCCTAAACCCCAAACCCTAAACCCCAAACCCCAAACCCCAAACCCCAAACGCCAAACCCTACACCGGAGCTGAGGATCAAGCCGAAGCCGGTGTCGGCTCAGGCCCAGGCCAAGGCAGCCGCGAACCCCATGAACACAGGCCGGGCTTTGGGGGGGGGGGGTGGGTGGGTTTCGGGTTTCGGGTTTAGGGTTTCGGGTTTAGGGTTTAGGGTTTGGGGTTTGGGTATAGGGCTTTCCTCAGGGGCTATATAGCGATTCAGGGGGGTTACGGGTTTGATTGTGGTTGAGTTGAGGTTCTCAATTTTAGGGGCATATGTGATCTTGATTGATTTGAGGGGGGTTGAGTGTCCAGGCATTCAGGCGTTCGGGGGCTGGATGCCCACTAGCACAGAAGATGCATATGCCCAGGACTCAAGCCGAAACCCGAGACACGTTTCAGAAGGGCAGACCTGAAAGCTTATGAGCATTCAACCCTAAGCCCCAAATCCTCAACCCCAAAACCCTCAAACCGAAACCCTCAACCCTCAACCCCTAAACTCTAAACCCTCAACCCCAAAACCCTAAACCCTCAACCCAAAACCCCTAAACCCCTAGACCCTCAACCCCTTTGTTCCACCCAGCCCTGGTCTCGGCCACCGTGCTGACGGTGACTATCAGCTGCATGCTGGCATTGGGCCCGGTCCCCAGGATTTAAGACATCCTCCACCTTCATTTGGGTAGGCCTTTGGGAGGGTTTAGGGTTTAGGTTTTCGGGTTTAGGGTTTGGGGTTTGGGGTTTAGGGTTTATGATTGAAGCTCTCCTTTCGAGGGTTGCTTTGCGGAGGGCGCAAAGGGGGCCAGATTCGAGAACTACCCCTAAAGCCCACGAGGCTGGGCCACAGCGCCCCTTGGGATTAGGGGTTGTGGTCTTCGGGATTTATCAGTTCTGATGGCCCTCTTCTGAGCCCGAAGCGAGCCACGAGATGTCCGGAACGTGCGAAAATCATCAGCACCAAAATTATCTTGGGGGTTTAGGGTTGCCCTCAGCCCTGGAAAGCCTACAAATCCTAGTCCTTCAAAGGGATTATTTTGGGGGTACGCAGATCCCTATGAAATGAGTGTTAGCATAAGGGGCAACATCCCTAAGCCCCAAACCCTAAACCCTAAACCCAAAACGCCTCAACTTCGAGTCCCGAAAGAGCCCCCTTCGAAGCGGAAGTCCAAAAGGCGAGGGCGTCTCCACGTCTCTCCTGTCCACCTTCCTCCTGGCCGCTCGGTGCTTCAGAATTCTGGGACTTCAGTACTTACGCAGTAGCTGAGTAGGTAACCTTCAACGCTTTGGGGGTATATACAATCCTACCATAGTTGAGAGGTTAACCTTTTTCTGACCCAGGGTACTCAGCAAGGCAAGTAGTTTAGGCTATATGTAGTGCTTTAGGGCTTCCTTTGGGTGTTGCAAGTTGCAGGCAGGGGCATCCGTACACCACCTCTCTCCGCTCTTCAGTGGTCCCTGAACCCGTATAGACGCCTAACCCTAAACGCCTCAACCCCAACCTGGTTTAGGGTTCAGGGTTGAGGGCGTAGGGTTTGGGGTTTGGGGTTTAGGGAAACCCTGGCAATATGTTACATGTCCCTTATTTGGGTTACGAAGACCATGCTTAGGATATATTTGTCAGAGGGTTCAAAGGGGCCACCAACCCCAACCCCCTAATTCAGCCCCCAAACTCCAAACCCCTAAACCTCTAAACCCTAAACGCTAAACCCTAAACCCGTAACCCGTAAACCCTAAACCCCTAACCCCTAAACCCCCAAACCCCTAAACCCCTAAACCCCTAAACCCTCAAACCCCTAAACCCCAAAACCCAAAACCCCAAACCATGCCCCCCCGAACAGGCCGGAGCTGCAGGATACCAGGCAGTGTGGGGTGTGGCCCATGCGCTGCACACGCCGCTCATGTCGGCCCCGCGGACCGATAAGTTGGGGAGGGTTTAGCGCTTGGGGTTCAGGGGTTAGGTTTTTAGGGCTTGTCAGGCTTTGCAGGCTTTTGGGTTTTGGGTTTTGGGTTTTGGGTTCAGGTGTTAGGGTAGGAGACTTAGAGATATTATATTGAAAGGGGCTTTGAGGCTTTGGGTTTAGGGTTCAAGGACACTGGGGATTTGGGGTGGTTTAGGAGGTTTAGGGTCTAGTGTGGTTTGGGATCTTGTGGGATTGAGGGGTTCAGGGTTTCAGGGAGGTTTGGGGATTTCGTCGAATTCCTTACCCTAAGCTCGAGACCCCGTAACCAGATCCATATACAAGCCCTGATACCCCTAAGCCCGAGATCACGCCTAGCCTGTCGAAGCCCAGCAATGGGGAAGCGATCGCCGAGGTGACGAACGCCATCTCTGGCATGACCGCCGTTGGCGGCTTGCTCCTGCTTGACAGGGCGCCGCCTGGCTTTTTGAGGTGGGCTCTTTGAATTCAGGCGTTCCTGCTGTAATCAGGTACTTCAGCGTCTTAGAGGAAGTTACCTTAGACACTGTTCTACGAAAGCCAAGAATTGCTCGGGCACACCTTTCTCTCGTGCTGGTGCATTTTCATACTCGTGATAGGTTGGATAGTCATAAGAAACAAGCTAGGGGAAACAGCAACCCTGGGTTCGGGGTTTGAGGGTTCTGGGTTGGGAGAGCCCAGGGGTGACGGGAGAGCCCAGGGGTGACGGGCGTTAGGGTTTGGGGTTTAGGGTTTCGGTTTAGGGGGTAGGGTTTAGGGTTTAGGGTTTAGGGTTTAGGGTTTAGGGTTTAGGGTTTAGGGTTTAGGGTTTAGGGTTTAGGGTTTAGGGTTTAGGGTTTAGGGTAACCTTGACGCATGCGAGCCCACTCTATGAGAGATCGTCCCTCAAGCAAGGCGACGCAGCCTGCGCCATTCCAGGTCCCAAACGCTAAACTGCCACAAGCCCTACACCCTGAAACGCTAAAATCCATGAGCCATGCCGCCTCAGCACCTCGACATGAACCCCAAAACCCGAACTTGCCCCTAGACTCTAAACCCTAAACCCTAAACCCTAAACCCTACCGGCCCTAAACCCCAAACCCCAAACCCTAAACCCTAAACCCTTTGGAGCCCAGGAACTCCTACTTCGCGCAGTTCCTGGCACTCATTGCCATTCTCGTCTCTGCAGTGGGATGCTTGGAGGGTTTTAGGGTTCAGGAGGGTTTAGGGTTCATGAGGGTTTAGGGTTTAGGGTTTAGGGTTCATGAGGGTTTAGGGTTTAGGGTTTAGGGTTTAGGGTTCAGGGTTTTAAGGCCTGCAGGGTACAGGGTCTGGGGCTTAGGGATGAGGGGCGTACAGGGAATGTGTACAGGAACGCAAATCCTAAATCCCCAAAACCCTAAAACCCAAAACGCCCTAACCTCTGTACTTGTAAGACCTAGAAGCTCCAAGACCCTGTAAGCCCCACAGAAGCCCCATAAGCCCCATAAACCCTCAGTTAGTGCTTGCCTTAGGGGCCCCGCTGAGGTCAACATCATTGGCGGATTCGTCGTCTCCCAGCGAATGTTGGA